CCTCCATTGTCCTAAAGAAATGTGAATGAGGAGTGCAAATGGGCAGAGAGAGTGAGACAGAGAAAAAAAAACAAGAATGTGCTTTGCTCAAAATACAGAATGCAGACCGGTAACATAGTTACTGAAGCAATCCCTTTTCTTTACATTCATACTGCCAGAGAGGGTTTGAACTGCACTACCCAACAGTTCCTGCGCCAGAAAATTTTCCATGTCAGTGCTGAATGCTAATTAGCATAAAGGCAGTAGGATTAAGGCAAGTAGGATGGTTTAAGGCTAAGTAGGATGGTTTCCTACTTAGCCTTAAATGCTAGTAGGACGCTGTATAGTGGTGGGGGTCAAAATCCTGCGAAAACGAGCCCGTTCTCTCTGTGCTAGTAATCAATTTTGGACTGGGTTTCCGTAGGCATCTTACCAGTCACCGCTTCCGAAGGTACGGCTGCATATGTGTACCCATGTATGCATCACGGCCGCTTCATACCAATCTCTTCGCTTCATAATTTGCTTAGCAAATGAATGAATACGAGCGTCAGAACGGTCGTCCATTTGTGGGCGGGCGGGCGTGGCGGGCGTTTGGGACGTAAAGTTGTGGCTTGATAGGCGCTCAGGCGCTTCTCGGGTAAACCGCTATGCAGCGCCTACCCAGGGTCGCGGAATTCTATCGTTCCAGGAGTATTGGTCCTAGTCGCCGGGGGATTTATCGTGCCAACTGCCTCTAACGATTCAGATCTCATACCCTACTAGAAATGAATATGATGAACTCTTCTTCTCAAGGACACGTTCTTCGCTAGGGTAGCAGGGCACATCATTGGTTGGGGATTTCAGTCGAGTCTGTACGACCCCCCCCTCCTTCCGGTCCCTTGTTTCGTCTCATCGCATTTCGATGCTCTCGGCGAGGCAGGGGCGTGGGGGAGGGTAAAAGCAAATGTGAGACAAGCAAGTCGCGAGAATTTGGCTTGAGGAGGGGGAAAGGGGCGGGGGAATACGACCCCCCCCCCTCTACCAAATTTAGTTCTTGCCACTTTTCCTCAAAATTTCCCGAAAAGTTCCCTACTTCTCCCCAAAAATTTTGTTGTTAAGCGGTGGGGGGAAGCATATAGTACGCATGAAACAGGAAAATCACGAAAATAACCAGGTCGACTCCTAGGAAAGGTGAGAAGTGAAGATATGAATCCCCCCTCAACAATGACCAAGTACGACCCCCCCCTTTACAACGTCCGTGAAGCGAGAAAAATCAACTATCAAAATAAATTTTGCCAGCCCAAATACGACCCCCTCCCCCCCCCCCTATTGGGGATTCCCCAACAAACGATGTGCCCGTAGGGCAGGTGGCCTTATAAGTGAGCGAAGTTTCGCCAGCTGCAGTATCGCTGCTGAATTCTCGCGCTCAAAAGTGCAGGGGGGGGAGCTGTGTTATAATACCCAGGTACTGTACCCATATTCCGCGCGCCAACGCTGCTGCCTTCCAGCCATACGCAACCATGTATACGTAACCATACCAGTATCCGCTACTTGTCCCGCCCTCTCACCTCTAGTTGTCCGGTACCACTGAGGGCGTGTTTTGCGGAAGGATTCTGGTATCGACACAAGTGTTGTATGCTGAGAATGGCGCAGGCGGAGCATGGAAATGGCACCCGAGTACCTTCACCCTCCAGCCCCGTTCCCGTGCATTTTTGGGTGTAAAGGACCGTCATCGGAGGTGAGCAGTCCATCAATCCGTATCAAATAATAGAGTAATCGACGTAGCGATTGCGGACCTGCACTATGAACGCGAAAGAAATGGCGTTCTGTGTCTACCAGGCAACCGCGGAAAATGTCTTTAGATATAAATATAGGACGTTTTCGAAGAGGAGTTAGTGATAAGTGAGTGGTATGCTCTCTGCTCCCAGGGATGTTACTTTCAATGATCGTCGAATATCCCTGGGGGAAGTCTGGATACTCTATAGAAGACATCACCTTGCACACAGATTTTGTTTGCTGAGGAGATCCACACAGTACTGTTTGATTGGTCGCCAGTCATTAAAAATTGAAATGCGTAACAGCCGCCATATAGCTGGAGAGAGAGAGAGAGGAGAGAGATGAGAGAGAAGAGAGAGAGAGAGAGAGAAGGACAAAGCTAGAGCTGAATGTTACGGTACCTGCCCATGGAATAAAGAGTAGCAGGAAGAGGAGGGAAGTATTGCAGTATCACCTTCGGGTGAGTAAGTGTTCACATGCGCGAATATAGTAATATTGATTGAAATGAAAATTTCTGTACCATTTCTATCTTCTCATAGACCTCCGCGAAGAAGATACACAGATTAATTCTGTGCTCTGGGTGAAACGTGAGGCGCTTCCCGTGGAAATCGCAAAGCAATTTCAATACGGCGTCGCGTAGTAAGGAGGGAATCATTATGAAGGAAAAACTCATTAAACGACGGTGTAATAAAATTCCAGTGCCATGGTCGATGATTCCAGCGAATGCTTACCTCCAAACATAAGAAATTCAACAGCCGAGCGAGCGTATGCTGCGGGTTGTTTCCAGACAACGGACGAGGAGCTACCGAAACAGCCTGACGAACACAATATTATTGTAATTTATTTGTTTATTTACTCTGTACGTTATAGTTATACATTACATCGAAAGAACTCACCATTTCGAAAATCATATGCACTGCAACGGTTCGAGTCGGTGGTGACATACGTTTTTCTAGCATCCTATCCCGGATAGCTCCAGCCCATGAGTCAAAGTCGTCAGTGTCGCTCAGAATTTGCTCCAAACCAACTTGGATCTGAGAATTTTCTCAATCAAAAGCACGTCTTAAATAATAAAAGCAAGTTTCAGCAAACAGCCATACCTCTTGAAGAGAACGATTGTTCACTTTGAACCATCGTGATGTAACTCGTGTGAAAGGGATATACCTTAAATCATAACGACTGTTCTTTCTTTTGATCTGCAAGAGGTTTCAGTGAAAACGTTTATTTTGCAACTTCTTCATCATTTTCGTCGCATTCGAAGGTTTGAACATGGCTGAAAGCTCTTGTATCCCACCACATGCTGTTCCTTCCAGCAATACCAGCATTATTTCAGGACCAAAAACACTTAGAAACTAAAGATAAGCCCCACCTCAGGTGTAATCCACCATACTGAGTGCAAAAAGCCCGCTTTCAGTACATTATTACTGATAGCCGCAACTGCTTATTGAAGGCACGCCCCCGTTCATCTGATGCTCAGGCGGCTTCTTTGGTTATGGTAGTTCTCCCCGTACAGATGGAAATTTGCTATTCTGTAGCCCAAAAGGCGTGAGTAAAGCCCGACCCGCTTGTGAAGAAGCCACGGCTCCGCCCACTAGCGAAGGCAACGCCCACGTTTTAATTCAAAAGATTGCTGGTGATGCGATTATTGCGCTCCTAGCTTCCTCCATTTCAAAGGTGAGAGTGAGGAAATAAGGAGAAAGAGCTGGCAGCAACAATAGAGAACTCGTCCGAACACACCCATTGCGCGTCTTATGCACGAACAAGTGCGGTTCAGCATGAGGTTCTATAAAAGGCATTTCCGGTATTTTTGCTTTTTTCTTCGCCAGTGGATCACTTACTACCTTATCGGGATGCAGCAGATTTGCACAGGGCCAGCCTGATTTCCGAAGAGAGCGGTCGCGAAGGGTAATACTGCCCTACTTCTTCTTCCAAAAAAGCGGCGCTTCATTAACCGCATGGGTCCCTTCCTATTTAAAGGCTTGCTCCTGGTGCAGGAATGAGAAGTTGCGCATCTTTAATCCCGATAAGGTAGTAAGTGATCCACTGGCGAAGAAAAAAGCAAAAATACCGGAAATGCCTTTTATAGAACCTCATGCTGAACCGCACTTGTTCGTGCATAAGACCCGCAATGGGTGTGTTCGGACGAGTTCTCTATTGTTGCTGCCAGCTCTTTCTCCTTATTTCCTCACTCTCACCTTTGAAATGGAGGAAGCTAGGAGCGCAATAATCGCATCACCAGCAATCTTTTGAATTAAAACGTGGGCGTTGCCTTCGCTAGTGGGCGGAGCCGTGGCTTCTTCACAAGCGGGTCGGGCTTTACTCACGCCTTTTGGGCTGCAGAATAGCATATTTCCATCTGTGCGGGGAGGACTACCATAACCAAAGAAGCCGCCTGAGCATCAGATGAACGGGGGCGTGCCTTCAATAAGCAGTTGCGGCTATCAGTAATAATGTACTGAATGAGCGCGGCTTTTCGCCTCAGTACTGGTGGAACTGAGGTGGGGCTTATCCTTTAGTTTCTAAGTGTTTTTGGTCCTGAAATAATGCTGGTATTGCTAGAAGGAACAGCGTGTGGTGGGATACAAGAGCTTTCAGCCATGTTCAAACCTTCGAATGCGACGAAAATGATGAAAAGTTGGCCAAATAACGTTTTCACCTGAAACCTCTTTGCAGAATCAAAAGAATAAAACAGTCGTTTATGATTTAGGTATATCCCTTCACAAGAGTTACATCACGACATGGTTCAAAGTGACAACATCGTGTCCCTTCAAGAGGTGCGCTGTTTGCTAAACTTGTTTTGCTTTTATTTTAAGACGTGCTTTTGATTGAGAAAATTCTCAGATCCAAGTTGGTTTGGAGCAAATTCTGAGCGACACTGACGACTTTGACTCATGGGCTGGAGCTATCCGGGATAGGATGCTAGAAAAACGTATGTCACCACCGACTCGAACCGTTGCAGTGCATATGATTTTCGAAATGGTGAGTTCTTTCGATGTTATAATATAACGTACAGAGTAAATAAACAAATAAATTACAATAATATTTGTGTTCGTCAGGCTGTTTCGGTAGCTCCTCGTCCGTTGTCTGGAAACAACCCGCAGCATACGCTCGCTCGGCTGTTGAATTTCTTATGTTTGGAGGTAAGCATTCGCTGGAATCATCGACCATGGCACTGGAATTTTATTACACCGTCGTTTAATGACAGTTTTTCTTTCAGATTCCCTCCTTACTACGCGACGCCGTATTGAAATTGCTTTGCGATTTCCACGGGAAGCGCCTCACGTTTCACCCAGAGCACAGAATTAATCTGTGTATCTTCTTCGCGGAGGTCTATGAGAAGATAGAAATGGTACAGAAATTTTCATTTCAATCAATATTACTATATTCGCGCATGTGAACACTTACTCACCCGAAGGTGATACTGCAATACTTCCCTCCTCTTCCTGCTACTCTTTATTCCATGGGCAGGTACCGTAACAGTTCAGCTCTAGACTTTGTCTTCCTCTCCAGCCTAGTGCGAGATGTTTACCATTTCAATTTTTAATGACTGGCGACCAATCAAACAGTACTGTGTGGATCTCCTCAGCAAACAAAATCTGTGTGCAAGGGTGATGTCTTCTATAGAGTATCCAGACTTCGCCCAGGGATATTCAACGATCATTGAAAGTCATCGATGGGGAGAAGGGAGCATGCCACTCACTTATCATTAACTCCTCTTCGAAAACGTTCTATATTTATATTTAAATATATTTTCCGCGGTTGCCTGGTAGACACAATTTCTTTCGCGTTCATGTGCAGCGGTCCGCAATAGCGCACTGTACCGCAGAACGCGAAAGAACGCCAGGTTGTTGTGACTTGAGCTTCGCCCCGCCCCCCTTCAGCATGCCTCCCCCATAGCGTGATATGTCCACCTACCTTGATTTTAGTCAGCTAGCCCCTATTATTTTATACGGATTGATGGACTGCTCA